GGGACATATGCCCCCATTGGCGAGAGTGGCCCCCATCACGCTTACAGAATGACAGTTCACTTCCAAAGAGCACATCTGTTGTAGCGATCATTCAATTCAATTAGTGCTTAATGTCTACTAAATAGAGTAAATACTAATAATGTCTACTAATAAATATGACAATTACTTGAAAATAAAAGTCCATAATGTCTTTGAGGACAGCCTTTTCGGGAAAGCATTTGTTTTCTTTCATAAAGTAAGCGATGGAAAAGTTTCTGTCGGCGGCTTCTCTTTCAGACAAAAAGGTTGCGTTATTGAAGCCCATGTATTCACCGCCGCAAAGACTTTTGTAGTAATTGCTAACCCAATCAAACTTCTCCGAGTGTCTCATCTCTGGCTAATGAGACAATAGATTGAAATAAATATGTTTTTTTGCATATTATAAGCCGAAAAATACTTTGATTAGATGCATGAGTAGAGAGCAGATGACAATAGCGCCGGCGTTGACCATAGGATTATGGGGTTTGCGATTGTGGTCGAGTACCAGTTCGTTGAACATACGGCCGCTGGGCTCCTGACCCACGTATTTGTGCACAACATTACACGTGAGTTCGTTGAGAGCGATCGCATAATTGACAGGCTTTCCGGTCGACTGAATCGTAAAGGGAATGCCTGTGTCTCCGATTGAATACTGCTGTCCATCGACTGTACACACACTTACGCCCCAATATTCTGCTCTTAAGTATACATCACATTATATAACAATGAGAATGAGATTTAAGGCAATGTATGGATTCAAACCCGGATTAAATTTAGCCAATTGTGGNACGCAAATACAAGAATATTACAATTTATGGTTAGTTATAATCTCTCGGAACAAAATATTTGATCCGTTTTACAAGTGATTTATTTTTGGGACGAATAGGCATTGAATACAGCGAACACTCGAGTTATACTGAATTACAGCGTTTTGTATCGTTTTTCAAACCAAAAAGAGTTATTCCGACCGTTAATAACACTAACCAATTGAGTCGCGACAAAATGAACTCATTATTTGCTCAATGGATTCAGTCATCACAAGATGAGCCCGAAATCCAAGAGATTCCGAGGAAAGCCAAAGTGAACGGTTCGCTCATGAGTTGGATCCGCAAAACACATGATTAATGTGACGAGAATGTGAAGAATCCTGTGATCACAACATGATTTCAAGTCATTTGTTTTGTCAATCATTATATAATTTATATATTTTTAATCCAATATAAAAGTAAAATGAACTCTAAATAAGTGGTATTAATTGTATGGAAAACTTGATGTAATGATTTTGTACCAAATCTATTGTAATACCGGTTATTGTTATGAAATAAAATCAAAGTTTAATTTTCTAAGATAATTAATTCATTTGATATAACAGTTAACTCTCGACTATAGTCTCGAGAATTAAATTGAAGTACTTTTTTGAAAATTGTTGCACTCTTTTAGATGTGAAGTAATGTTCAGTGCATTTAAGCGTTGAGTGAATACGACATAAAGTTGTCTGAAGTCTAGTCTAAAAATATCGATTTGTTGTCATATAAAGAGCTCTTCGTTTCACATCTCAACAGTCATTCTCAATGATCGCCTCAATTGAGTGCAAAACATATACAGAATATATCACTACTTAATAGACCTGTAAAACGGTTTCTCAAATAACACAACATTTAATTCAATTCATTCGAAGACATGCTTTCAAACAATAATCTATTCGTCAAATGTTGTAAATATAATAAATTGCTATTCAATTGTAATAGTCGTCGAAATGTAGTCCATTGTAGGCATAAATTCCTTGCAAATAATTTCCTGAAACATAATTCTTGTGATCACTTGAGAGTATTTGAAACGAATTTCAATGTGAATATAATTTACCGCAACTTTCAATCGGGTTATTACCCTCTCTATTCGCAAAACTTTATTAGACATAATAAGAATCTGACAAATGAAGACAATTTACTTAAGTTTGTAACCAATTGTTATCACTTTTATTGATGATTATAATCATTTATATTAAATGTCATTAATCTGTTTTTGTGACAATTGATTTGTTTTGACAGAAATGATCAACTTTTCGACTTCTTATTTAATTTATTCAAAGACCAAAAGCAAGAACTAAATGTCGGAAAATTCTTGTCGTCGTTGGCGGAGAAGGGAATCAAGAAAACGGATCCGCGTTTGGATAAAATGGTCGAAAGATTGAAAGCGATTCTCATTGAGAGGAAAGAAAGCGGAAATATAGAGGGTTTGACTCTCGATAAGGATCTCTGCAAAAGTATATTCCAGGAAAATCTAATTCTGTTCAGTCGGGCGTTTAAAGACGACTTTGTTATCCCAGACTTCACTGAATTCTGTAAATATATTGAAGAATTTTATTGGAAATGCAAAGCAAACATCGGGGGAAAAGTGGCCGCTTATATCCCACAATTGGCTAAATTTAATCCGGGTTTGAATCCATACATTGCCTTAAATCTCATTCTCATTGTTATATAATGTGATGTATACTTAAGAGCAGAATATTGGGGCGTAAGTGTGTGTACAGTGGATGGACAGCAGTATTCAATCGGAGACACAGGCATTCCCTTTACGATTCAGTCGACCGGAAAGCCTGTCAATTATGCGATCGCTCTCAACGAACTCACGTGTAATGTTGTGCACAAATACGTGGGTCAGGAGCCCAGCGGCCGTATGTTCAACGAACTGGTACTCGACCACAATCGCAAACCCCATAATCCTATGGTCAACGCCGGCGCTATTGTCATCTGCTCTCTACTCATGCATCTAATCAAAGTATTTTTCGGCTTATAATATGCAAAAAAACATATTTATTTCAATCTATTGTCTCATTAGCCAGAGATGAGACACTCGGAGAAGTTTGATTGGGTCAGCAATTACTACAAAAGTCTTTGCGGCGGTGAATACATGGGCTTCAATAACGCAACCTTTTTGTCTGAAAGAGAAGCCGCCGACAGAAACTTTTCCATCGCTTACTTTATGAAAGAAAACAAATGCTTTCCCGAAAAGGCTGTCCTCAAAGACATTATGGACTTTTATTTTCAAGTAATTATCATATATTTCTCTATTTAGTAGACATTAAGCACTAATTGAATTGAATGATCGCTACAACAGATGTGCTCTTTGGAAGTGAACTGTCATTCTGTAAGCGTGATGGGGGCCACTCTCGCCAATGGGGGCATATGTCCCGTCACTAATGAGACAGTTATCACCAATTCTTCGGCGGTTAGAGATTGTCTATCGCTAATGCACTCGTGCGGAATGTATGACTATTCGGGACAGTTTGCCTTCAGAGTAGGTCTTCCCACCAAATCAGGTGAGAACAACCACTATATTGACAATAATTAGAAATAACACGATTCTGTTGCAGGAGTGTCGGGTTCAATGATGGTAGTGGTGCCTAATGTGATGGGAATCTGTGTTTGGTCGCCACCTCTGGACGCTTACGGCAATTCTGTGCGAGGGGTCGAGTTCTGTGAGGAACTCATCTCAACATTCAATTTCCATCACTACGACAACCTCTTCCACAGCAAAAATAAATTGGATCCCAGAAAGAGAGGCTTCACTTCAAAGACTAAAACTTTAAATAACGATTAATACATCAAATAATTACATAAATACAGAATTTTTTATTTTAATTATAGGTTTAGTTTGTTATAAATATTGAAAAGTTATGTGAAATAAAAATTTTAGCCAAATATTCTGTTCATATCGTTCTGTAAATAAAAACAATAAAAATAATATTTCAATGAAAGCATTGAGAAAAATGTGAGATATTTTTATGTATGATATTATAAAATAGAGTCGGATTTATATTCAAATAACATTAATGCTTTTTCAGGTCATGGATTGTTTGTGTTATACATTTGTATTCAGCGCTTGTATTCATAGAATACTCACAAATAGTTTGCAACATAAGTTTTAATTGAATTAAAACCATAAAACTTTTATTGTAATTTAAAAAAATAAATCTCTTTGTATAACAGAGTGTACAATAAATGTGAGTGTTTTGGCGTCAGTACTGATTGAATGCAATTAATGAACAATAAATTGAGCCAAAAAATTCATAATTCCTAAAATAACAATAGAGTAAAGGAATATATATTGTAGTAAAGGTATGTGACGTCCGGTCAGACGCTTGGCCTTAAGGTACGCGAGAGGAGGCAAAGTAAATATGTAGATGAGAGCCGAGAAACTGCCCACATATCGGATGATAGCTCCGATATGGGGGTAAAACAGGGCAAATGATACACACAAACTGACTAACACTATATTCATGCTTATAATATGCTTATATCCGGCGCTTGTGTTTGGGATCAATAGATGCATGACTTGTATCCGAAGCATAAGCACAAGAAGTGGGTATAGACTGAACACTTGAACCAATAGAAAGCTTCGCGTAACGAACGCCAGAATATCATTGCTCTCGAAGTTATCCAAGAAGTTGTCTTTTAGACAATCCTTAGGAATCGGAAAACTTATGTAAATGAGAGAAGCGATGAGCAGATAAGTGGACGACACCAACACATAAGNGACATATTTGTCGAAACGGAAACGTTTTGGTCTATTGTCTGGTATATGAACGTAAAGATATGCTCCAAGAAGTTACTCATTAGCACCCAATAGACAATACATCCGCCAATCAGTGTCACCAACGATGAGAAGAGAGAGAATATATGAGCGACTCTTCCCAGAAGGTGGTACACGGCGTCCGAGAACTCCACTACATTTAGTTTAACCATTTTAGGTATGGATATGATTAGGTCTGCCGTATAGAAACATAAGGCAGTCATCAGAGCCAAGAGGACAAACCCCGAGACCAGACCCGCCTTATGAAGAGCCCACGGAAGACATAGAAGACTGGTTCCCATCAACATATTCCAAATGGCAAAGATTGTCACAAAACTGCTCTGTTTGCGCACTTTCGTGGTCAGTGTCTTGTTGTCCAATTGCAGAGCAATCCGTGGTATATAAAAATACCAGGGAATCACGTGATCGGGAATCTGGATCCCATTGCAGTCCGCATTTCCCGATTGAGCGCCCGATAGTCGTGTGTAATAACGATATCTATTGTACGTAACGCTCGCTTCGTATAAATCTTGGTTACCATACGAGAGGTGTCCGACATTTTGTTGGTCCGGCGGATAATGAAATGGTCTTCGGATGGATGAGATGGAAGAGGTGGACAACTCGTTGGGTGAGAGACCAGGAGTGGTGGGACTCGTGGAGCCGAGTGTCATATAATTGACGGCAGTCTTCAACTCTTTGCTCTCACTTCGCAACAGTGGTGTCAAAGCAGTGGAACTATTGTGACCGCTCTTCAGTTCGTTGGCCATCACTTACAGCGCTTCCAACCATTCAATTAATACGATCACAGTTTGCGCTCAATTTGTTAGTAAAACTGTTTCTAAGGCTAAACAGTAC